TCCCATCTTTCAAATGTTCAGACATGAACAGGATCATGACAGAAGAAAGAAAAGACCATGAAACAAACATAACACTCAGTGGATTTTACGAGAAAGTAAATCTTAGCCCCCAAATACGAGAAAGTAAATCTTAGCCCGACAGAGCAGAAATTTCCCTGAGAAAACATTTGAACTGCTGCCTGAAAAGAGAGGGATTTTACGCAAGCAAATAGCAGAAAGCTACTACAAGAACAAAAGCCATGTCTCTAAACATGATTAAAATATCATATTTACACATAACTGTGCTTTAAACCATGTCTCTAAACATTACCATGCAGTTTTTTCAAGATCTACATAAAAAACAACAATATATTTTTTCCAGAGCTTGGAAACTAGGGGTACGTTCTGCCTGTTTCAGAAGCAGCAGCACTGATTGAGAAAGAAGCTGGTCGCATTAGTTTGGAAGAGCACCTGTTATTACAACAGCTTCAGAAGCAGCAGCAGCAACAACAACTGCTTCGGCAGCAGCAGCTTCAGCAACTTCAGCAGCAGCAGCATCAGCAACTTCAGCAGCAGCAGCAGCGCTTGCTTTCTCGTCAGAATTCGTCTGTGCCATTTATTGAACAAATTCAAGGTTCTCTGCAGCATCAACAGTCAGTTAACCAGTATATGCCAGAGTTGGAGCAATTTTTGAAACTTCAGTTAGAGGAGCAACATCATCTTCAACAGCTGCAGCAGCAACAAGAATTGCATCAGCAACAACAGCAACTTCAGCTCCAAATGCAACTAAAAATCATGAAACTTTACTTGGTTAATTGTTCAATTTTCGAACATTTGCTGCAGCAGCAGTTGAATGACCCTGTTTATCAACTTAGTTAAGTGTTACGCGGCATGAGTCATAAGAACATTTCATATATAAACTATTAATGAGATTGCTAAGTCAAACTATCAAATTAAACAATTAACCAAGTAAAGTTCATGAACCATGGGAACTGTATTAATATATAAAGAACTTAATATTTGTAATCTCATGATTTAAGGAGTTCAAGTACTCGTGCTGAGGTTCTGCAGTTATGTTTGTCAACTTGGAGAGCTAGATATATTCAGTTCAGGTTTTGGGCTGAGGTTTTGCAATTTTGTTTGAAAACTTAGGGAGCTAGAAAAATTCAGTTCAAATATTTGTTCTGAGGTTTCGTACTTGTATTAGCAGGCAATAGTGATGACAATTGCTCCAGTAGTTTTGTTTTGGTGCAGGCATATTTTAGTCCACCTAGTCAGTCGGTCTCTCTCTGCGTGTCTGTAAATTATCACTCGTCATTTTCTTCGAAAATGGAATATAGATCAGCAAATAGAAATATCAAAACAAAGAAAGTGAAAAAATGATTATGAGTTTACATCTTGAACAATAAACGTTGGGTTATCTTTCCTAGAGACTAACTTTAAAATAAGGGTCATTCCATGGAAATATCTTTTCAGTGTCAATGAAACCACCTTTTCATGAATGAACTCCATCTATCAGCACAAGCTCAAAAGTACTAATGGTAGTATAAGGATAATAATGAATGAACTCCATCTATAAGCACAAGCTCAAAAGTACTAATGGTAGTATAAGGATAATAATGAATGAACTCCATCTATCAATAACACAAGTTGCCACGATCACAGATTCACAATCAAGTTCACAGCAAACTAACGTATTATTAGCGTGTCTGTAAATTCTGAGACACCTAAGACATGCTTAGACACACACACAACTACGTAAGACAAAGATGTGTACAAAAACTAAGATGCACAACCGAACAAGAAAATATATGAAAGAACCACACGTTTAATCAAATAGAAAATATATCTAAAGAAATTGAGATGTCTGAAGGTATGAAAGTAGTAAGCTAACCTAGAGGATAAGACACATACAACACCGCCTCAATCCCGATCCCAATCTCCTCCGCCTCCTCCTCCGCCTCCTCCTCCTCCGCCACCGCCTCAACAGCCTCTCGAACCCGAGCCTCCGACCCCAATCCCTCCTCCTCCGCCTCCTCCTCCGCCACATCAATCGCCTCTCGAACCCAGAGCCTCCGATGCCTCCTCAAGTCACCGCTGAAGTCGCCGCCTCCGCCACCTCAAGTCGTCCCTGAAGTCGCCGCCTCCGCCACCTCAAGTCGCCGCTGAAGTCGCCGCCACCCCTGGTATCTCTGATCATAGTCCTTGCATTATTTTATTTTGCCTGTTTATTTCCTGTTTAGTATTGTGAGATTCTTGAAGAATGCAAATTAATCATCTTGAATATGCATATCTAAATTCTGTTTCCATAGTCTTCACTGAATCCAGATTCTTTTTCATATATGCAAATTAATCATCTTGATTTGGCTCAATAAGTGGCATGAGAATGTTACATGTTGATTGTTTTTCATTTCTTAATACATATATAGATCTATTTTCATGTTGAGTCAATTTATATTCCACTTTATTATGTGTTTACTACCAAAATTGATTGTTTTTCATTTTTGTGGGGAAATTACATTTGGAGTTTTATGGGGTTTAAGTGCCGTAGGAAACATTTTGTAGTATTACAGAGTGTACCGGGCAATTAATCATCTTGAATATGCATATCTAAATTCTGTTTCCATGGTCTTCACCGAATCCAGATTCTTCTGTGTTCGTTTCATCAGAAAACAATATATAATTAAGCTTTATGCCGTATAAGATCTTTGAATTATTGGGTCCCAAGGTGATCAGGTTCCAAGCAGCACAAACAATAGGGAGAAGCAAAAGTTCACTATGAAGCTCAGGAAACTATTTTTATAGTTCTTGGTAAAAAGCTCAACCCTGCACAACTATGCATATTAACATGTGCATTCATTACCAGGTGCACAGAATGCCTGAAATGATCATATGAGTGTGCATAACCATAACAGGAGCAGCAATTGCATATAGACAGCATCTGTTGATGTTTGATTGCATCCAACAGTAGAGACAACCCGATTATTTTCCTGTTTAGTATTGTGAGATTCTTGAAGAATGCAAATTTTCCTATTTATTTCTGTATTCCCAGAATTTCCAAAATTGACGTCACTAGTATTCTGAGATTCACTGAAGTATATGAGGTTAAATAAACCAGCAGATGAATAATCATGATTTGGCTCAATAAGTGGCATGAGAATGTTACATGTTGATTGTTTGTATTGTTGTGCAGATAAACCAGCAGATCATGATTTCAGTAATCTAGAGGTTTCTGAATCGGAAGGCGAAAGTGATTAAGGTAAGATTTTACTTGTTCCATGAAATTAGTGTACATCATAAACTTGCTTTTCTAATGCTGTTGGCTAAATATTGATTGTTGTTCTAATATGTATTTATTTCTCACAAGTTTATGTTTCCTACCAAAAGTTAGAAATTCTGAAGTAAAAGGACCCTTGGATGTTGCCACTTTCGAATTTTGACAATTTGCAATTTAAGCAGGAAAAGCTACTCCATAGTTTGACTAATGTGAAGGAGTCTTGCAGATATTTGCTGCTTATTTATTATGAACTATTTCACAATTTTGGTTTGTAGTTGATTAGTAGGAGTATTTTCTTTTAACTCTGTTGATTACTAGAGAGTGATGTAACTTTAGAGCTGGAAATTTATATCTTGTTTGTTTTGATTCTGATGTATGAACTCAGCTGTGTGTGTGTTGTATGTGTCTTATCCTCTAGGTTAGCTTACTACTTTCATACCTTCAGATATCTCAATTTCTTTAGATATATTTTCTATTTGATTAAACGTGTGGTTCTTTCATATATTTTCTTGTTCGGTTGTGCATCTTAGTTTTTGTACACATCTTTGTCTTACGTAGTTGTGTGTGTGTCTAAGCATGTCTTAGGTGTCTCAGAATTTACAGACACGCTAATAATACGTTAGTTTGCTGTGAACTTGATTGTGAATCTGTGATCGTGGCAACTTGTGTTATTGATAGATGGAGTTCATTCATTATTATCCTTATACTACCATTAGTACTTTTGAGCTTGTGCTTATAGATGGAGTTCATTCATTATTATCCTTATACTACCATTAGTACTTTTGAGCTTGTGCTGATAGATGGAGTTCATTCATGAAAAGGTGGTTTCATTGACACTGAAAAGATATTTCCATGGAATGACCCTTATTTTAAAGTTAGTCTCTAGGAAAGATAACCCAACGTTTATTGTTCAAGATGTAAACTCATAATCATTTTTTCACTTTCTTTGTTTTGATATTTCTATTTGCTGATCTATATTCCATTTTCGAAGAAAATGACGAGTGATAATTTACAGACACGCAGAGAGAGACCGACTGACTAGGTGGACTAAAATATGCCTGCACCAAAACAAAACTACTGGAGCAATTGTCATCACTATTGCCTGCTAATACAAGTACGAAACCTCAGAACAAATATTTGAACTGAATTTTTCTAGCTCCCTAAGTTTTCAAACAAAATTGCAAAACCTCAGCCCAAAACCTGAACTGAATATATCTAGCTCTCCAAGTTGACAAACATAACTGCAGAACCTCAGCACGAGTACTTGAACTGAATATTTCTAGCTCATCGAAGGCTGTTCAAAAAAGTGAAAGGGGGGATGCATTTAGAGGGAATCGGGTTGAGTTTCAGGAACAACATCGAACTGTTGGCTTTCAGATTCATCGAGTTCAGATTGTGAAGCAGTGATCCTTTTCGCCTTTTTATAGCTGCTTATGCTCTTCAGAATTGTGCTGATGGGCTTTCCTTTCCTCTTCACATTTGGTTTTTTGATAATGTTAAACAAATAGTGAGAGAATATAGGATCACAAATACCTATGGACTGTTGCTTACCCTGTCAGATGTAAGTGCAGGAAATTGATCGATCCTATCTAAATTTACAGTACAATGCATAATAACCTTTCAGTATCAAATAATTTGCTATCTAAATTTACAGATAGTAATGATTTAGACAATAGCTTTTAGATTTTTCCTGAAAAGTTTTTCCTTGTATGTAGTAATCTTTTGCTTATCGTTTATTTGCTGGGTATTGAATTCTATACTTTCGCTTTGTTTTTCAGATTAACTGAAGATGAAGAATTTAAAAGAGTGGTTTTCCTATGAGCTATTGTCTAAATCATTACTATCTGCAAGGCCTTTCAGCTTCTTTTATGAGGAATCACTGGATGGTGAACTTGGCAACCGAGGTTCGGCCTTATTTTATGCTGTATTAAGTCATATAATCCTTTTGCTGTTAGATTTTCAAACTACTTGAACTGAGTGTCACATGCCTTTTGCTCAAAGTTCAAGCATATTAACAATGCATGCAGGTCTCTTGGCTCTGGTTCCTGTATTTACTATCATGTTTCCTGTTCTCGTAAAACCATAATTTTGTTATATGATTACGTATCTGATAAGTTCTTTGTGTATTTAGCTGATCTTTAGTCCCCTGGTTCCCAAAGATCGCATCTTGCTATCTAGTGTTTCATTATTATGACAATATCATACGTTTGTGACAAAATTAACTAATTCTATGGATGATTGATGCAGGAGAAATATTGAGGTCTCTATGGTGATTTCGGATTCTAACCCTTGCTATGAAGACACATATGAGGCTTGCTGCAGTACTTTTAATGTTGCTATTGAGTCCAACTGAGTGTTATGTTTGTTTCATGGTCTTTTCTTTCTTCTGTCATGATCTTGTTCATGTCTGAACATTTGAAAGATGGGAAATAAGTGGACTATGGTTGTGTTACTATTTTGTTTATAGACGAACTTACTACTCTTCTAGTTTATCAAGTAATTAAGTAGATTGTCCTTACTAATCGTGATCGTGTTGCTGATAGTTATGATGGCATTTATATCAAGTTATTGATCTTATACAGATCCTTGCATACCTTGTGTTTTCTATCTTAATTCATTTAAATATTCTCGCAATTTTGTTGTTATTGATCTTCTGGTTTTTGGTTTGGAAATTTGAGGTTAATTTTGCAAATGTGTGAGGTCTGTACTTTTATCCAGGCTTGTAAATGGTTCAATCATGAACTTGTCTGCCTTTGTTTATCTTTGTTTATGTTCCTATCTTTGTTAGTATTTTATCAAAAGCCCCAATAAGTTTGTAAAAAGCTCCCAAAAAGTTTACAAAAAGCCCACAATAGTTTACAAAAAAACCCCTAAAAGTTTACAAAAAACACCCCTAAAAGTTTACAAAAAACACTCCAAAAGTATTATACATATATAGTTACTATAGTTAAATGGGCAAATGGGCGACCCGTTTATTAAATGGGCGGGTAAAAACCCGCCCATTTAAATAATGTTAAATGGGCCATAAATGGGTAAATGGGCAAAACATGCCCGCCCATTTATGGCCCGCCCATTTAAAACCCATACCCACCCATTTAACATCTCTAGGATCGGGATTGAGGCGGAGGAGATTGGGATTGAGGCGGAGGAGAAAGAGGAGATTGGAATTTGGGATCGGGTTTTGTTTGTTTTGGTTTTGGGAATACGGTGGGCGGGCAAACAGGCATATAAACACCGCCCATTTAGTGCCCATTTAGAATAATGTAAAATGTACCCGCCCAATTAGGCCCATTTAATTAAATGGGTGGGCGTTGGGCGGGTCAAATAATGGGCGGGCCAGGTGGGTAAATGGGTATGGGTCAAAATTGACATCCCTACTTTTGTTCGCACCGAAATTGAACCGAACCAGAAGCATAACTAAACTAAACTAAACCGAACCGACTAATTTCGGTTTGGTTCGATTCGATCGATTTTCAAGCTTGTAATGAGCTTCATTATTAAGGCGGATGGAGACGACGAACCCTAAAAGCAAGATGCTCTTGATGGGGAGGGGGTGGGAGGAGAGAAGAAAGAATAGTACAAGCAAATTAGAGATGAAGAAATGCAAGGGAAAGGGTTTGGGATTTTAATTGGTTGGTTGCATCATAATTTGAATGAGGTGGATAAGAGCATTATTTTTCCTTTTTGGGTAGAGGGAGAAGGATAAGAGCCAGTTGGCATTAACTTCTCTCTAATATTTAGATGGGGATAGCTTTCATTAACCAGGGAATAGGTTCGATCACCACTCAGATGTGTGCAGTTCGGGGGCCCCGCGAAGCGTGTGAGGGAGGGCATATAATTGGGTTCAGAGAGTGCGAGAGAGGATATGTAATGGGGTGTGCTTTAAACACTGTTTAGCGGACTCGGTAATTACGAGTTCAAAAGAAATTGAACCTGACCCAAACCAAATTTTGTATAGAATCGAATGGAACTGTAAAAAAAATCAGAGGGTTCGGTTAGTTTGATCGGTTTTAACCAAAGTTTGCTTAGCCGTACATGGGAGACCCTAAGTTTCTATATATAAGAGAAGTATCTAGAACTCTTTCAATATTCAAAAATATGTCGAGTTTTGAGGATGAAACTTTTTGGTAGGAGGGAAGAGTATAATAATAATCACTATACGAAATTGTTTATCTAGTTTTATTCTAAGAGAACTTATGTAATTACTAAATTGATAAAGGGTTTTGTGCAAAATCCCTCGATCACTTGGCTTGTTTACGGACCCCTACGGGATCGGGTGGAAATTGGCCATTGGAGAAAATTTCAGCACCACCTTATGCTCTAAAAGAAGGAAATAGAAAAGACGTAAATCCACGAGTCTCCCACTTACTTCCATCATAGAATGGAGAAATCCAATGGAAGAGAGAGAAAGAGAGGGAAGAGTAACTTGCCTGGAGTATAGAATTTGGTAGAGAAGCTCGATTGATCCAAAGGTATAACCTAACTTCTTAATTCTTTTAGTTATAGAAATTGAAGGACGTTTGGTTGATAAAAAAAGGAATTTCAATTGGAGTATAATGAGTATTGAATTTGTTGAAGTTAATTGAAAGGTTGTACCAAAGATAGAACAGGAAAAGAAAAGAAAACAACGAACGAACGAAGAGAACAAAAGAAGAAAGAGGAATGGAAAGTTTGCTCTAAATCCCTATGTTAGTTAATATTTACAGATTAAAGAAGCCATAAATACTTGGTTGAACTTCATTTTTAGGCCCTTGTGATTTCTTGCCGTTTCAAGTAGGTCCAAAAATATTAGAACATTATTATAATGGTTGAATATTTTTGCTTTGACCCCAAAATTTCTGGAAACCTTGATTTGAGTAGGTCCAAATTGCTAGAGAATTTCTCCGAGAATCTAAATAAAATCCTATCAATGAGCACATATGAAATTCTTGTGGGTCTTGATAAATATTTGACCCTATGTGGACCTGGAGTAGGGAGTTACCAACCTATAGTATAAGCCTACCATGATTGGTATTTATACTCTGTAATTTTATAATATAGGACCTCATTGATATCAAAAGGGATCGAAATTGCATATTCTGTTTTCTCTAGTTTTTCTTGATTGCAAAACTTTGATTAGGAATTTATGATAACGTATTAAGTTTGCAAGTAAGAATTTTTTTTTAAATTATTGTATTCTTTTTAAAAATGCTAATAATGTATTACTGATGACAGTTATCAAATAGGGGGTTCATACCAAATTATGAGTGTTTATGGTTCTCAAACTCCTTCAGATGACTGGTTCTAGAGCCCGCTATTCTTCTCTACACATAAAAAAACTCATAAGAGGGCGGAGTTGGGTTCTCCGGTTGCTCATCCGACGATCAAGTCAGTATTTTAATCTTAAGTGGGAAAACCAAAGACAAATTGTATCAGTAGTTATTCAAAGTTGCTAAAAAGTAGAAGAAGTTACCTCATGTAGCATAGTTCCCTTTTTATAGTAGATCAGAGGGGTGTGAAGGTAACTTCAGCCGAGCCCAGTCAAGTTGTTGAGTCAGCAGATACCTTTATAGGTGTTGGCCACATAAGAAGGTGAGTCATCTAGTCATTTAATGAGGGAATGACAACAGGAGCTTGGATCTAATTGGGTCCGATGAGTCATAAAGACTATAAGAGCTAGAGTAATGATGATTTTGTCATATCAGTTAATGCACGAGCAGTCGACTAGCGAGGGGTTCGAGCTAACTTCCATCTCTCTATTTATTTGGTCAAGGGTCGAGAAACACTGCCTTTTTAGTCTATCTTGCAAGTTGTCAGTTGACACAGTAGGTTGACTGTGGGTTGCTCGTAGGGATGATCGGGTGAGGTGACCGACAAGTACCGCCTTTTAACTCGGCTACGCAAGTTGTTGGCTGATATAGTAGGTCATAGGAGTAGTATGAGTCATCTCGGTCTCAATTCGTCTGAATAGGTGAGGGGGGTGAGACGTGTCAGCTTCTCTTGGTAGATTAGTACTTGGTGATTTTTATGCTATAACAGATGGCCCCCTTCCACTTGAACTCGGCTAGCCGAGTACTGCTGGAAGATTAAATAGTTGCCAGTTATCGACTCTCGAGGCACATTGATGAGGAGTGACTGAAAGTCTTTTCAGATTTGACGTTGTTGTCATCATGGTATAATTATTATCTGTTGTCACTTCGTTTTTCGTGCATGTGGGAGAATTAAGGCAAGGGGTGCCTCGATCCTAGAGTGGCCGCTTTTAATTTCGGGTTTGATCTCCACCGTTGGTTGGGCGAGGAGTTAACCATTGGGATTCTATCAATTTCTAATTTGTGCGCCTACATTGCTTTTGAAGATTTCTGAATCTTAATCGAGGAAAAATTCTAATCATCCATCTTCTCCGGCAATCTCTAAAACAGTTCTGATAGTGGCTTCTACTGTTAGAGTTTGATAAGGCTAGTTGGAGAACTTTCACTCCAAGGTGACCCTATCATAGCTGAGGGTGTTGTACAAGAAGTGCGACATTCCTCAAGCTTTCACTTTGATGGCGTCGGTGAAGTCACAGGCGGTTTTGACCATAATGCAAGTCAGGCTTCGGTGTACGCTAAGCATTTGGAATATGGTTTATGCCTGCCTCTGCATCCTTTCCTCCATCGTTTTTTAAGGGCTTGGGGGTATCTCCAATGAAGGTGAAGCCAAATTCGATTGCTACCCTAGTAGGGTTCGTTGTCATCTGTCAATGCTTAGGAGTCGAACCAGCCTTAAACTTGCTTGGTAATCATGTTAATGTCAAGGTGCATCAGCGTGAGGCTCATTATCATCTTTAGGTTCTGGTGGGATACAAGATAATCGCCGACCCTCCTGAGTTGAACAAGGAATGGAAGGAGAGGTTCGTATAGGTTTCATGAAACGACTCAAACTTGGGCTGCTCTAACTGGCCCGATATCTCTAGAGAGGCTCTGAAGGTGGGGTCATTGACCAGTGTCGAGATACGTGTGCTGGAGAAGAGTAAGTCGTACATGGATTCTCGCAAGATGGAAGCCTTACTTGACAACTCGGTCTTGGGAGTAATTGTTCGCGGGAAAAATCGCCTCTTTCTTCATTATTGATTCCATTGCTATCTTTAAATAACAACTTTTTGAGTTACAAAGATCCGGTCTTTTTATAAGATCCGGTTACAACGAAATCAAAAATAAAGAAAAAGATTATAACTTTCTCCTTTTATCGAACAAATCGCGAGCTCCTGTTTGCGGTCACTCGCTTTGTGGGTTCTTTGCCTGCGCCGGGGTTTATCCGTGGACCACCGCGAGATCTAGATCCGGTCGGATCTACGCAGTACGACGGGTATTATTTCACCAAGGAAATAATAGCCGGGGAGGATTAGTTCACCAAGGAAATAATCGTCCAAATCTCGGGATCAAAGGCCAAGCTTTGATCCGGAGTATGCCTGCGTAGATCTGAGATCTGATCCTCTCGAACACCTGCCTTATTTGACGTTGATGATCGCCGAGCACCAGATCTGAAGGAGTGAGTCCCCGAAGTCCCAAAGTTTCCCCTTAGGGTGTTTGGGTTCCGTCGTTTTGTCGTTGTTCCCGTTTTGTCCGTGATTCGG